CTGGGGCTAAACCACGACAGATAGTTAGCTTAAATATGTATTTTCTCTTACAGTGGGGGATATATTTTGGGGAAATAAGTTAAAATGCTGTTTGTTAAAAACAAACACTTCTCTTCCACTTCTGATTGCTTCAGACTGAATAGAATTTTTCTCCACTTAGCTAATTAGGCTTTTGCTCATTTATGTTCTAAGTGTAGCTGGGGTAACTGCAATTCAGTGTAGACTTCTGAGAAAGGTTTCTATGAGCTGGTAGGAAAAATGGGTGTGAACTTTCTGTGAATGGAAGAAATACTTTGTGAAGACCCACAAAGGTCACCACAGTACTGCTAGGGCACTCCCTACTACTTCAGTAAGTAAGTGGCTGGAGTGGCATGCAGAAGACAACAGACTGGAGCACTTACAGATTTTATGACAACTTAGATTCTCTTTTCCTTATAGCAGTAGTCTTGTTCAAGCTTTGACTTGTTTCACTTCTCTAGGATGACAAATGGGAAAAGAAGTGCCAGAAGATCTTCTCGTTTGCTCACCAGACCATCAGTGCTCTGATCAAAGCAGAACTGGCAGAGCTGCCTCTTCGTCTCTTCCTACAAGGAGCACTGGCTGCAGGAGAGATTGGCTTTGAGAATCATGAAACTGTGGCATATGAATTCATGTCCCAGGTGAGTGTCTATTACAGTCATTGTCCCGTGCTACCTTAAATTTGGCTTGGGTAGTTTTCCTGAACATTGAACTATCCAGTGTGATTTAAAACATGTGAAACGATTGACAGCTAATGCTACTTAGGTAGAAACTCATCTTCATTCTTGCTTCCCAGGCTGCTGTGGAATTAAGCTCCACTGCTACTGATTTGAATACTCAGTCTGACAAAATGTGATATGTTGCAGTGCTGCCTCTACTTGCATAGTTGGCTCACTGGAGGAGTGTAGCTTTCTTAACGTAAAATGCTCCTTTACTGCATCTAAGACTGTCTCCCAGCTCCTGTTATCTAGACAGTATTGCCCTGACCATAGGCACTTTTTGGAAGTTCTCTAAAATTTGCAGTGTTACTGCCATGCTGTGCTTTGCCAATCAAAATCCTTGTATTGAAACCTATTGTAACTACTCTGAAAATCCACTTCAACCTGTTACTTGGTCTTAAGCCTTACTTGTTGCAAAAACCTTCCCATCCTCCCCATCAGATAAAGAACCAATGTATTTAATGTTATCCATGTTGCAAGCTTTGTCCTAATCTTTCCTTTAATACTGCTACAAGTGCACATTTTAAATTGAGTTGCTGATAACCTCAGCCTTTGCTGTCTTGTATCAGTTGCCATTGTAGTGCAATTCTGAAGATGAGAGCAGCATGACAATTATGTACCTTCTATTAGAGATACGGTTCAAGATACTCAGTCTTGTGTGTTCTCTCAAGGCTCTTCATCCACGTAGCAGCAGTGCAAACGCTTTTGTTACCTACTCTGACCTACCACTCAACTTCTGCTCTACTGTTTTTTGTTTCAAAGAACCAAATCCTTTTCAGGGACTATTTCTGCTACTGAAGTTCTGTATTTGAACAGATGCTTGAAATGAGGAAAAATTCTATCTTCAGATTATACATAGGACCACATTTGTTTACTATGACCACTTAAGAAGTATTTCTTGCAAGATTTACTTCCAGTCTGTGGATTTAACTTGATTTTGACACTTTCAATGAAAGATCTTGTTTCCTGCCTGGAGCTTTTAACAAGTGTAAAACTGGACACTTTCCTGCCATGTTACTAGCAGGTGTGATTTGGTGGTTTTTCCTGATGTGTTCTAAAGCAGTGATTGAGTCTTGCTTTCTCCTTTGACTAGGCCTTCTCTCTATATGAAGATGAAATCAGTGATTCAAAAGCACAGCTGGCTGCAATCACCTTGATAATTGGGACATTTGAGAGGATGAAGTGCTTCAGTGAGGAGAACCATGAGCCTTTGAGGACTCAGTGTGCACTGGCAGCCTCTAAGCTCCTTAAGAAGCCGGACCAATGCCGGGCTGTGAGCACTTGTGCCCATCTGTTTTGGTCTGGCCGAAATACTGACAAGAATGGAGAAGAGGTAAGAATAAAGCGACAGCAGTGTAACATATACTACCTCAGAAACATAGTTCCGCCTTTCTTCTGAAGGCACTTACTTCTAAAGCAGATATATCACTTAGTGATGTAGATTTGGTTGGAATGTATTCTAATACATGAGGCTTCTGAATCTCACTGCAGTGTAAGCTGCATGAATACAAAAATGGAGAAAACTCAAATTTAAGTACCATGCAAGCTTTTGAGTGTGAACTAGTTTAAGACTAGTTGTCAAAGTACAGTCTGCATTTTGCACGTGTTTATTATAGTAGCTGTGTTTGCATGTGAACTACTAAACTTCCAAATTAAAAATACAAGTTGATGAAGTTAAAGGCTTAAAAAAAAAAAAAAGTGTTCTTCAGGGCTTGTCACATAAGCTGTTGTAATTACAAAGAGCAGTGTTGGAAATCTGTTTCTCAAAGCATGCATTAGTGTACATATTGCAAAATTTGAGTTCACTGATTTTGTAATTGAAGGCTTTCAACAACTGTTCATGTTATTGCCTGATTTAGGAAAACTGAAAATTGGTGGCAGTTGGGCAAGATAAGCTTTCAATGACAGCTTGTTCTGCACAGTTTGTGTAGTTTTGTATTTCTGTGGTAGACCACTGGGAAATGCCGTATATGTGCCAAGGGAAGAGATACTGGAGCTCCCTAAGGTTCTTTTATTTCTTGTAACTTTTGGGTTTTTTCTTTCTAGCTTCATGGAGGAAAAAGAGTAATGGAATGCCTAAAGAAGGCTCTGAAGATAGCAAATCAGTGCATGGACCCTTCTCTGCAAGTCCAACTTTTCATAGAAATTCTGAATAGATATATCTATTTTTATGAAAAGGAAAATGAGGCGGTGAGTGGAAATGCATTCTCTATTGCTTTTTTTTTTAAAGAACATTTAAGCTCTTCATTCACACTACACCTGAAGTCATGTCTCTTCAACTTGCTCTGTAGTCTCTCATGAGAGGCACAAGTTTTGGTAATCACAACAGAGTAGCCAATTCTTGATATGCTAGTAAAATTGTGGATAAAACTTCATTTGTCTTACATGGGGGAAAACACCAAACATTTGCAGTTTAGTTATGAACTTAAATATTGTGAGAGTTGGACACCTGAAATATTTATTAGATCAAACTTATTGGGACTCTAGAATCTTACTACTTTCTCATCTAATTTTAGAGGTACCTAACTTAGTATGTACATAAGGGAAAGAAAACTCTTACAGCTGTTCAAGGTCACTGCTGAGTGTGCCACAAATGGTTGGTGTAAGCTTCAATTTCAAGACACAGATATAACATTTCACATACCAGTTTAAATTCTGCATCTGAAACCTGAGATAGTTACCTCATACATTTTCTGTTAGCAGAAAGTAAACTTTCCCAGTTTGAAAAAGCTGCTTGGTCAAGTAGAGATCAGCATCCCATCTGATGTCATCATTTGATCAAGAGCAGATGTTAATGAATACCCTGTAGTTCTGAGAGAATGACTAAAGACTGTCTAAATTTTAGGGGTTTGCTGATTCTCCAGCAACTGAACTGGCTTCCTGCTGTAGTAGTGCTCTAGTATAGGAGATTCTGTATCTGATGGAGATGAAAATAAAACTTTGTATTTCAAAGCACTTGTCAGATGTAAAAATAGTCTCTGGATACAGTGGTGGTCTGCAGTGCATTTTGTGCTCTGGTGTTCTGTGTAGTGCTGGACTTAACACCATAGACAGCTGTACTTTCCTAGGCAATGACTTAGTCACTGAGAATAACTTTAGATCTGGTATTACCAACTGACTTCTGTATGAAATAGATTATGTTAGATTGCATAGACAATCAGATTATGTGCTTTATTTGTTTAAAGCTTTTTAAATTTGTATTGAATAAACTGGAGAGAAACACTGTGGTAGAAGTTACAAAGCTATCAGGTTAATGACTTAAGAAGTTCCTCACATTTGCTGGGATGACAGGAATTTCCACAAAACTCTGAAATCAGAATGGTCCTACGAGGAGCAAGAGAAGGCAGTCTCCAACAGTTTGTCTGCATACAGTCTTACCAATATTTTTAAGAACTGCCCAAATATCAGTAGTTTAGAGACAAGTCTGTTAAAACTAATGTCTATGCACTTATACACAGGTCTTGTTGATGACTTCTGTTCTGTTTACATTCTCCTGTAGGTGACAATTCAGGTTTTGAATCAGCTTATACAGAAGATAAGAGAAGATCTCCCAAACCTTGAGTCTACTGAAGAAACGGAACAAATTAACAAACACTTTCACAACACACTGGAGCACTTGCGTCTGAGGAGGGAATCACCAGAATCTGAGGGGCCAATTTATGAAGGTCTTGTTCTTTAGGAAGATACACACTGTACTTACTTCTTTTCATTTACATACCGTATGTTTTTTTTAAAATAGATTGATAGGTTGTGCCTTTCAGAAATGTCAAGTTAACATTCATGTGTTCAGTCTGGCACTTCAAACACTCGTGTTGAGTGCCCTAACAAATTTGAAAGGTTGGACCAGCAACTACAGGTTTCATCAGTTAGCATGGCCAAAACTTTCTTTGAAATCCATGTGACATGGTAGGGCTCTTCTGGTTCTGATTTCTCTTCTGTCTGTTCACTGTTGCTTCTGTAGCACTAGAGTTCTAAACTGGCAGTGACTGTCATCTGAAACTGTGTCTGATCCTTACAGAGCATCAGATTTTTGGGATTATTGTATGTCAGATTCTGCTTGTGCTTTTCTTTTAATGCAAGTTTAGACTAAGTGTAATATTTTTCCCTAAAAACTAGAATATATTAATGCATGTTTGGAGAGTTTTAAAGTACCATGTTCAAAAAACAGAAGTTATATTTTGCATATTAAGGCTCTGTGACATTCAGTGAGGGCCAGTACTGTGCACAGGGCGTATTTATCAAGATAATTTTCTTCCAAATAGTATAAAAATAGAGAAATTGCAATCTATATAGATATGTATAACCTTCATTACTGTAAATTTAGGGGAAAATGCATTACACAAGTTTATTCAGTATCATGATTTTGCACCAGTGAAACAATAAAGTTGCTATTAACACCTGTTGTTTCATGTCTCTTCAGAGCCCACTGTTGAACCCAATGCCATTGTTGAACCTTTTGATAAAAGCAAAGGAACTTCTGTTTTGTAGGGACAGACAAATCAAGGCAAAGTTAACCTGGAAAAGCTGGGAGGCTGCTAGCATTTCTAATGTAGAATTTTATCATTCAAAACCAGTATTTTTCCAAATGATGCTGAGACGATGCGTGTTCACATTTCAGAATGCTTTTATGACATATCTTGAGAGACTGGTGGAGAATCCTGCTGGATTCTAGGTCTGTGCTAGACATGAGTGGCAATTAAATGACAAAGCTGTAGGAAATTGAGCAGTAGAGCAATTGCCAATGGCAACTCCTGTGAAGACCGGTCTAGTATGTAGGTTAATGCCAGTTGCTGAGAACTTGGAAATGTCTGTTTTATCTTAACTGAATGTAATGTTCTAAAGCTCACTGGTTGAACTTCCTTACTCCTTGAGTTGACCACTCTTGTGAAAATTGCCCTGGCTTGATTGGATAGTGAATGAGACCTTGGTGGGAATGTCCAATAATTTAGTGCTGTTTTCTGAAAAATGCAAATCATAGGAAACAAGAATTATGGAGTAGACAACAATTAGATCATTGATCTACTGATGTGTAAGTCTGGCTTGGAGGGGAGGAGGAATGGGGAGACAATCTAATGGCTTTACTTGCCAAGTGGTATAACTAATGCTATTCAAAAATCTTAATGTTGCTTTGTATCTGTTGATGCTGTTCCTCTTAAAGAGAACTGTTAAGCTGATTGCTTTGTTATAAAACACCCATAGCAGAACATGATGATCATGTTCATGTACATACATTCATATAGTAGGGATATGGCCTCCTAGTCTACAATACTTGCTAACCATGTTTGTTTAATCCTCAAGGTTAGTCCGTGTAACTTAGGAATTGTCTTTGAATAACAGTTTGGCAGTTTCAACTGCAGTTACTCAAATGTTGTAGGTTAGTGCTTTTTCCTATGTACCACTTGTCGAGGCTACAAAGTTATGACTCTCCCACAGTTCTTGATTATTTTTACTGAAATTTTACAAAGTAAATAATTTCAAAATACTGTCTGTATACTTTTTAAGATCAACTGTACTAACATGCATTTTGGCTGTGGCGATGGACAACAGCTATCACCTGTCAGCAAAGGGAAGCATCTGTTAAGCTACATAGAAAATGCTTAAGATGGTGGAAACAAACTTGTATCACTAGTGATGTTCAAATCAATACCTCTTGTGGGACAAATCTAGTCAAAACTCAGGATCTAGCTGTGTGAGCTGTTCCTGTGGCAGAGGCAGAATGGCAGAAACAGTATGTAATTGTTTATGTTCTTGTTTTTCACACTCATGGTCAATAGCAAGGCTGTAAATTTTAAGTTTTTTGAGTCACGCTATTTATGACGCATGACTTGGAAAATGTCTAAACACTTCAAGTAACACTTTTTTACCACTGATAGACTTGATGGATGCATAGATCCAATGGGTGGGGTAGAAGAAAACTTTTTTTTCCTTTCAGACCTAAAGCTCTGTCTATAGCAAGATCTGTCTCTCATAGATGTCATAGGCTAATTATGCTTACTCTATACTTACAGCAAAAGACAGAAGAGTAATACCTGTCAGTCCTGTAAGGAGTAGAGGTTTGATTTGAGTAGATTTCTGCCCACAGAGGATCCTGGTAGGGGGCAGGAAGTCATAGCTGAGGGAGGAAACTCATGGTGAAACTCTTCCAGTGTATAAACTCTCAATTCTCATATCTCCTATCACAAAGCTCAGAGCCCTTTTATACTTCTGTCCCTGAACTTAGTTCTATTAAAAATTCTACCCTCTTATTTCTCAATCACCTTTTCCACTCAAATCAATGCTCCCTTACCTGCTACAATTGCTCAGCTCCTCTGGTAACCTGACTGTTCTGGTGCCTCTTGCCCCATGCTTTTCCTGGACACCAGTATTTAGTTTTTTGAATTGGTCATGATCTTCTCTGGCTTGCCAGAGTGTGGGGAGGAAAGCATACTACACTTAACAGCTGAGACTCTTGGCATCTCAGAGTGGGTTTGGGGTTAAAACATAACAGGTCCAAGGTTAACACTTAAAATCCTTACCAGCAGTATTTACAGTTATTGAAAGTGAGAGAGCCTGAACTCTAATTATTGGCCATGAATGTTGCATTCCCTTTTCAGCACTGCAATGCTAGTGCACCATTTCCAGAAAATACACTGTTGGCATAAACTCCCAAAGAGCTTTGAGAAATAGCCTTTCTTTTCATTGCTGTGATTTCTCCAGCTATATGGATGACTGTGTTTCTATACATTCATAAATATCTACACTTGTACCTACTTATCAGTATTCCATAACTACCCAAGTGCACACTGCACTTAATACTTGCAGGTGAATATTAGTCAGTTTATGCTCCCACTGAAAGCAAAATGTATTGTCAGCCTTCACACTTTTTTTTCACATAAAAATATGAGGATGAATTTTGGCTTTTCCTGGACACAGGAGTTTTATAAAGGCTTTTCTAAAGCTCATGTGACACAATGGGTATAGGACAGGGTTAATGGCTGAATTCACCCACAGAAGCCAAAATGAAGTCTCATAGAGTGAATATGGCACACAGCGCCCATGGCAAGCTGCTCTGATGATCATCAGAAGTGTATATGGAGCCCAACACAAACCAAACACACAGACAATAATTGCTAAGGACTTTGCTACTCTTTTATCCCGGGAAAGTCTGAATCTATTTGCCATGTTGTTAGCAATGTCCACTCTGCTGATGATGTTGCATATGCTTTCTGGAGTTTTGTAGAAACCATTCCTATGAGGCTTGGTCTCGACTTCCACCTGAAGTGGTGGAAAGTCTTGACTGACATTCACATTCAATAATTGATTGTCAAGCTTACGTATGCTGAGCCTTGAAGCCTTTTTGGGGGGAGAAAGGCTGCTTGCTCTCTTCTCATGCTTGTGTCTGTTAGCAGGTTTTACAAAAAATACAGTGTGTTCCCTTTTTTTCCCCTGGAAACTCATTTCACAGTCCTCTTGACCAGGTGATAGGTTTTCGTTTCTGAGGGATGTGCGTTTCCTGATGTTGAGGTAAATACTTAAGTTAAAGTATGTAACGGTAATGAAAGGTGTAAAGAATTCAATAGTAGAGGCAATCATTAGGAAATACCAGTTGTAGAAGAATTCTGCATGACATTCTCCTTCAGGGAGGATGCTCTTTTGGGCAATGTGCTCCCAACTGAGAATGGCTGGACCATAGAGAAGAAAAGCAGCAATCCATACAGTGATCATCTTCAATATTGCATTTCTGGTCATCCCTTTCTGAGCCCTGTAACTGACCTGAGAGAGAGAAAAGTTAAGCCACATACATGACTAGCATCTCAAACAGTTACATGGCTACCCTGGAATCTGACCCTCTCTGTCACTTGTGAGGGTTGATAATATATTGTTTTAGGGATGAGGGTTATACCAAGCTTACCAGTACCACAGAAAAACTACTTCTGAAATATCCATTCCAACAAACATTATCAAGGTGACTGGATATGTTGGGAGAACATGCATCGGATCTCAAAAGCTAGAAAACCAAGGCTTTTCCAAAGAAAGTAACTGCTGCTATTCCTAGAATTGGTTGTCACCAGTTGCTTACATATTCAATTGCATTATCTGTGACACAATTTACAGAATGTCTGAAAAACGTGGCTCTTCAAAATTCACTTAGAATTTTTAAATCACTTAAAATACATAAAAGATCTGAATTCATAGAACACCCATGCAAGTTCTTTTCTTTCTGCTTTGTAGAGAAATAGCCTTTTTTTCTTAATGTGAAAATCACACCAAAAAAATTAATGGATAACAGCTTTTACTTCTGTTTGATATCCTTAATTTCATTCTTTTATGAAGTACTTACAGAACTCTTATCTGCAATTAAGATGTATAGATGGAGTGTTGTGGTCTGCGAAGTGCTTTACAGGAAGAATAATTAATTTCCCTTATTTAGAAGATAGAGAAGCTAAGGTGTGAAAAAATAGTATGTCTGTAATACTGAGTCAGTAAACTGTATCAGCAATAGAATTCAGTAGAATCTTAAAATCAAGCTTTTGTACTTCTCAATACTCTTAATTCCCTGGTGTACTGGACAATATTCATATAGTGAATTGGAATTCAATCTTCACATCTCTACAGTGGCCACACTGTTTTGGAATGTGAAGTCCTCAAGCTTGAATTCTGTATAGGATTCATGTTTACTGCCCCAGTCTGTAGATCTTGATTGCTAAAGCCAATGCTGTTCTGGTAGAATACCCACACAGCTGAAGAATCCTGAGTTTGTCTGAATCGGGTCTGCTTTTGCAATCCTTGACAAAACTACTGATGATTTCAGGAGCAGTCTTGTAGGAAGATTACCATTTTCATTAAGACAGAGAATAATTTAGAATTTAATATATTCTTGTTCATATGTTCTTATACTGCCCTAACCCAACAGGCAGCTTCTGGTACTCTTGCTTGGGGAGGATTAATTTGAAGTATGTTAAAGTGGCTGATTTTTTTCATTTATTATGACAGTTTCCCTTTCTGTTTCTGAAACCATCCAGTCTATATATTTATACTGTGTGTATAGTCATGAGAGTTTGGTTTATGAAAGACAAATTCATGGCTAATTCAGAACCTAGAAAATAAAGGAATTTTAAGTGTTGACTGTTTAAGAATTAATCTGTTCATTTCTCCCTCTTCAAAAAGAAGTTGGTAAAACACTAAGTTGCATGTAAACCATTAAAGCGATGTAGCAGCCTCTGTTTGTACTGTTTGCCAAAGAAGTGTCATTGCCTCTTAGTGCGATTTAGAATAAGCAATGAAGCTAAATTAACGTTTCAAGGAGATGTGGGTGGAACAGGGGGCTGAAGAATAACCAAGTGTGTGTAGAAGAGTGAAACCTACTAGCAGGTAAAATGTGTGATTTCAGAACCATCCAAAATATTTTGAGGCAGTATG